GTACCCGTTTCGCCCAAATTTTGTTTTTATATGATGTCCGTTTCGCCCAGAGTAGTTTAGATCAATTTAAAATTAAGTTGGCAATAGTTGAGTCAAATTTTATATTTTTTACTAAACGTTATAAAACCTATAGTAATAATGAAATCGATCAAAACCTATAAATAATGCCTACGAATTTATCAACGCGCTGCATCTTCAGCGTAGCTTATCGTCGTTTTCATCTAACACAGGCGTGGCATAGAAGTATTCAGCAGTATGGTTTAGCAACAGACTATAAAAACAATTCGAATATTGGTAAATGGATTAAATACACTTTTGGTTTATTATGTTTGGACCCTGAAGAAGTGTCTGATTGTTTTGTTGAAGATTTAATGCCAGAATGCCCAACTGATGATAGAGTCACAAAGTATTGTGATTATTTAGTAAACAATTACATTTCTGATAGTGCATTTCCTCCTTGTTTATGATGGGCATGTAATTCAGCGAGTATTCTACTTACGACGAATGCGTGCGAGTCGTCTCATTCTTCAATGGCCATTTTTATTCTATCTCTAAATCTGTATTAAGTTGGTAACATGTTGTGAGAAATTTTGTCCAAACAGATACATATAAAGAAATCAATAGCGTTGAAATACCAAGGACATCAAAAGATGCAAGTATAATATTAAAAGGTAAGTACACAATTAGAAACAAATAACGAGGTACTGATCAAATGAAATTACTAGCTATGAATTCATTAAAAGCATGTGTAGTAATTTTAAAAAGAGAGTGTAGGTATTAATAAATATATTTTGAACGATTAATCGATTCTATTATATGTGTACATTTTTATTATAAGGTAAATTTGATTTTTTAATGATTATTTTTTATAAACATTGTGGAATAAATATTAAATTTGTTAAATTTATCACTTTTATGAAAAAAATAATTTTTGGTAAACAAAGAGTTGGATAACGCTAAATGATACTCAAATACAGTAAAACCTGACTTAACAGACACCTGTCTATAGCGGAAACCTCTCTTAACGGACAAAATGACCAGGTCTTGGCAAAAAGATAGGCATTCTAATGTATTTCGACCTGTCTATAACGGACTCCTTCTATTACGGACAAGGACACTAATATTTAATCCAACAATTTCATAACGGACAAAAATACATACATACTACGGGATACCGTCGATAAGGACCGCAATTAGGTCAAATAATTAAAATTAAATCCATAATGTAGAATGTATGTGTATAATACATATATGTATAATATTAATAAAGATTACACCTATTATGTATATATTATAAAATATAAAACAATACAAATGTATGTAAAAATTTTAATTTTTAAAATATTGAAACCTGTCTACAACGGACACCTGTCTATAACGGACAATTTTTTTGGTCCCGTGACTGTCCGTTATATACAGGTTTCACTGTATTATAGTTTATAATCATTGTCAACTTAATTTTAAATTGATCTAAACTACTCTGGGCGAAACGGAAATCATATAAAAACAAAATTTGGACCATGATATATAGGAAAGACTTTTTTCCCCGTTATTTTGAATAGTACTTGGAAGTACTTTATTTTGGGCGGGACCCGTTTCGCCCAAAAATGACCGTACCCGTTTTGCCCAAATTTTGTTTTTATATGATTTCCGTTTCGCCCAGATTAGTTTAGACCAATTTAAAATTAAGTTGGCAATAGTTCAGTCAAATATTTGAGTATCATTTAGCGTTATCCGGAAAACGGTATATAATGTCCATTTCGAAAACCATGAATGGTAAACATTTGCGTAAAAAATCGCGCACAATATTGAAAAGTTCCATCCATATAAATAGTGTCTAGTTGTCTACTGCAGTATTTAAAAATATTAAATTAGTCGTACAAGAAAAAATAATAACGTTTTTTTCTTGATTATTTATTAAAACAAATAGTTCATTTTTTGAGGTTACAGTTTCAGATGTATTTAAAGCCATGTGTGTTTCAATTATATATTTTCTTGCAACACAGGAAGAACTTTACGTCTACTTCTATATATTACTTTTCTAATAGTATTAAAATCGTTTGATGCTAAGCCATCAGCAAGTTGAGAGTTCTGTGCTAATTCTTTTAAAATAATTTTTTTTTTTATATAATAAGTTCTTCCGAAGCTTTTCGTTGACAAGACGTTGTACTCACCATTTGCCGGTTTATAACTGAATCATTGCATGGTATATGATCGCGGCGATCTTGATCAGATAATAAAATATTTTCTGCATTTACAACTTTAGAACCAAAAGTATATAACGTGACAGAACACGAACGTTTTACACAAGCTACAGTGATGATGCAGCACATTGATAAATTCGCTTTATAGATTTTGATCGATTTCAATTCGATAACGACTGGATTATTACTATAGGTTTTATAACGTTCCCTAAAATATAATATTTGACTGAACTATTGCCAACTTAATTTTAAATTGGTCTAAACTACTCTGGGCGAAACGGAAATCATATAAAAACAAAATTTGGGCAAAACGGATACCCGGGCGAAACGGGTACGGTCATTTTTGGGCGAAGCAGGCCTTTATTTTTGACCTCTTGAGGTATCTACCAACTAGATTCAGTTTTCTATCAGAAACCAGCCTTAAAGTCGAAAATCAAAATATTTTTCTAAAAGGTGATAACAGACACAAAAAACATTTTTTTCAACACACTTTATTGCAATAATAATACATTAATTTCTCCATTCGGAATCTAAAATCCATTTGCAAGTTATATTCTCTAATATAAGAAATACACTACAATTCATAAATACTTACACTTGAAACCAGCACTCTTTAAATCCCCTACGAATTTCCCCCCCCAAAAAAAAACAAACAGTTATTACAAATAATACTATATAAGTAGCAAGTATTTTTAACAAAAAAATAAAGTAAGCAAACATTTTATCAACATTTTAGATTAGACGACGGTAGTGGCTCAATATATTTTGATCTACTAAATATTTTATTGGTCCAAATCTCCAAAATGCGATAATATACAAAGTATTATGTAATTATTTCCACTAGTTTGGGTATTGGCTTTTGTTATTTCAAATCACATGTAAAAAAAACTCACATCAAAATTAATATAACTTATAGGTAAACAAACTCGAAAAAAAATGTCCAAAACACAGCAACACAAATCCATTCGTTATTATGTATACGTGTATGAAGTTAACTGTACGTTTATTGTGTCCGTCTATCTGATGGAGGTAAAATGTAATCAATTTTTACATTTTTAGTTATCTTTTTATCTTATAATAGTTTTGGCAAAGTTTAGAAAACCAATAAAATTATAAATCACACACATTACTGTAAGATAATTTACTTTCGTAGATCAAAATATGAAATATATAGGACCACTATACCGCTTAAACTAATAATTATAATAATCATTATGGAACCCATTTGAATATAATTAATAAAAAAATATGTTTTTAATGCGTGAATGATATTACTTAGGCAGACTATGACAGGAACCATTCATTATAAAACAAAATAAAAACACTTATAAAGATAAATGCGTATAAAATATTATGTAATTATATTTTAGATTGTGAGCGGAGCGATGAATGTAATGATTTTACAATGATGTTTTTTTTTTGTCTGTGAAGGTGAAAATTTAAAATTCTCAGAAGTTTTCAAAAGCGCCAGGGAATGAAAATTAAAAACAAGGTTCCACATAAGAAGGTTATTCTGTAACCCAAAAATCTATGAAATATATAAACACAGTTTTTTTTATAGTTATTTTATGATCAAATTTGGACGAAATTGCATATTAAATAGGTAACCAAGAATAAGGATTTAAGTTATTTTGTTTTAATTTAATAATATTTTTCTTGGGTAGGTAAGTACTTGAAACTTCTAAAGTTATTATTATATACAAATATGATAATATGCATATAATATTAATTCAACCTACCAGCTAGGGGGCTAAAGTAGTAATAATAACAATTTCATAAATAAATAAATAGTAAAATAATAAAAATATAACATGTTATGTGTCAAACAATAATCATCGCAAAGGCAAAGCCCTTAACTGAATAACAGCCTATATTGTAATTTTACAAAATTAACATAGGTAAGTATACCAAGTACAAACAGTTATTCACCAAACACACGGCATTACTTTATCTTAATTAAATAACTATTATAGTATATTGTACTTGTACTTTCTTTGGAAAAGTTATTTAATCTTAACATAAATCAAAATATGCTTTAGTAATTTACCATGATATTTACCTTCAACCGAACACCAATTTATTGGATATTCATACAACTGATTATTAATGAATGGTACTGCAAAAAAGACACTTATTTACTTAAACAATAAATTCATATAATTTTTCATAACTAGTAAAGTTATGTGTATTGTAGACATATTATACCTATAGGAGACTTATTTTCATCTTACAAAGTACAATTTAGCTCATTTATGTTCAGATAAGAGTCTATTTTGTATTTTTAATTTATAATTTTTAATATTTCGGTAAATTGACATATTATCAAATTTAAAGTACAGAATATTATCTGTATTCCCTTGACAATTTTATTTGGGATTTTTACTCTTAACAAGCATTAAAAAAATATTAAAATAACGAATAGAACACACGAGATATACTTACATTTAAATTCAATAGTTTATATAAATTTACTGTGATATCAAAACTATCCTCGACCCTGCTCAATTCAATTTGTCTATTTTGTACGTTTAAAAGGCCTAGATAACTAATGCAGCCATCACATACTCAATGATTATTTGATTAAAAAATATGAAATAATTGAAATTCAACTAAAAATGTATAAAGTAATATTTTCAATGTGTCTAGCAACATTTATTTTCTTAGTATCAATACTACCATCCTCATAATTTCCCAGAAAAAAGTGTTATTATCAAGATTTAAATTATTTGGAAAACATTTTTTTAGACCAACCATCTGAAATATTATGTTTAAAATATATTAAGTATGTATTTAAAATTATAAATAATATATTTACAACTACGTTGAATACATATTTAAGTATATTTTGTAACCCTGATTAATCCCGTTGATACAATAATAATAATTTGACAAAATGACTGGAAATACAAATTCTTTCTGATTTTAATATGTATAGGTATGTCAATGTACAAATGAATTTATAAAAATAACTTACCATTGGAGCCAGCGTAAATTGGTCCAGCCTTTTCTTTTAAAATTAAAAACAATTTAAAATTGTAACAAACTATCAAAAAAATTTTTTTCCATTCCATTTTTATGTATATTTTAATATCAACATATTTGCATATTTGGCATTTGCATACATGATACGGGTGCCAAATAAAATCGCGAAAGTCAAAATTGAGAAATAAAACAGCGAAAATAAAAATCGCGAACACAATAATAGTGAAAATTAAAATATTCTTTTATATATATTTTTCATAAAAACCTTAAACTACGTTAAAATATTATAAAAAATGCAATTTAAATTTTATATTTTTCCTAAAATTATAATATATTAGTATATAAATTTAAAATATTTGAAAAATTTAATAAATAAATAATAATAAATACAATAAATAATTATTAAATTTGATACTTTAAATTATAGGCAACATCCCTTAGGTATTCTAGTCTATCCCTATTGTCGTAGTCATTAACTAATTCTTTAAATGTATCCCTTTTGCGTTTTCTAGATGGTTCAACAGTGCCCGCCGCTATGTACTGATTTATTTTCATTTCATTTAAACTTTGTTCCTTTTGAATTGCTTCAATAAATTTCCATATTGTTGGATGACATAAACTCAACAAGTTATTAAAGCCTCTAGGTATCATTATTATTATTATTTACTATGACAAAGCTGGACAGTTGTTAGGTTCAACTTCGGCTTATCTTTATTACGTGATCTAAGACGCAAGATTACAAAATTACATTATTGATTATCTATATTACTTATTATATTATAAAGGTATACCCACAAATGAAAATAATTTCTTACTCGTCGCTATTATTGTTTTCGCTGTTAAAACCTTCGCGGTTTTTATTTTCGCTGTTTGTTTTTCGAAATTTTGACTTTCGCGATTTTTTTCTCGCGATGGACTCCATGATACATATCATATTGGAGTTTTTATATGCTCATATTAAACTATCCAAGAGTATATACTTTAAAAAGACTAAGAGCAAGTGTTGATAAATAATTAACAATAGAAAACAATCAGGTACATTTATTACATGAACATACACATTTTGTTATTTTCAAACTAATCGTACATCCTTGTAAACGATATATTTAAAAAAGTTGTATTTAACCCTCGACAATTTCATTCAATATACTTACTTTCCGGTGAATTGATAAATTCAAAAAATGTATCTGCGTATGCTGGTTAATACATAAATAGTTCATATTTATTACAATATAATATTACATATTTCTTATATTTTAAACTAAATCATCTAACTAGGTAATTATTGTTTGGATAAAGTAACGATTACTAACACATAAAATATTACTTACAATAAATATCTGGTATCATATGGGCTAAATTAAAAACAAATGATGCTTCAAACTGTATATTGAAAAATTCATCCTTAAATTCAAAATCACCACAAAGAGTGACATCAGCATTGCTCATGAACGGGTAGTGAAACAATAATTTGCGGGGATCCGCTGAGCCACGTCACTTCACTTATCAGAACTTTAAATACTTATAACTTATAACTTATGAAGTTATGAACAACTCGTTCGCAAAAAAAACCATACTTATAGTACCTATGTAATTTTTCCCATCAAATCTATAGTTTATATTTATATTTTATACTAACGTTTATACCATATAACTTCTCTATTTAGTTTAGCTTCAACATCTAAAATATTAAATCAATTTTTTAATATAATTATATTATCACAGTGTGCAAATCAAATACGGTCACTTGGTGCATTGATTTATACTATGCTAAATGCTATAATATTGTTCTGTCATGCCAAAAATTATCATTTTCGTAAATAAAATAAAAATAATTATTTCACATGTATAACTTGTACTTAATACGTAAAAAATAAAATTACCATTGAAACCAAATTTTAGTAGTGAAGCTGTTAAAAATGTAGACAATAAAAATAATTAGTTAGAAATAAATGATCTAAACCATTTAAACGAAACCTTTTAAATCTATAATGTCTGGTGAAGGATCTTTAAAAATGGTAAGTGTTCCAGTTCAATTGATTGCAGTTTTTGGTTAAAACTTAAAAGTATGATTGTATGTTTAGCTCCAAAGAATAATTACAGATTTCACTGCATATTAGTAGTTACGATTCATATTATTGTGATTTCGAACTTTCATTTTAAAAGGATGCCCGGTGCAATTCCAACGGCTCCCACCCATTGGTTGCTGGTTCCCAAACAGTCCCGTCGAAAAAGGTTTCACTAATACGTAAATGTCTTAGTGGCTTTGATATACAACAGCAAACATTTTTTTATTTACTTTGCATAAACCATTTTATAAAATTACTAACCCCTTTTCAATTCATGATTTATAACACCAACGAAAGCTTATATAACGACAATTTTATAATTTGCTTTGCATATAGAATATATATGAACACCATCACATTTTTAACCACACATACATTTGAAGGCAGTCCTAAGTTGGTACATACATATGAAGTGAGAAGAAATTTATGTTGTCAAAAAAGGAAGCCGTTGAGAAAAATGTTGTGTTTGGAAAAATGAAAGTCAAATGTCTAACGTCCTAACTTAACATCATCTAAATGGATTTGGCAGTTAAACTTTGAGTTATTAGTTTCATTGTTAAAGTTAATTTACCTAGATATTGTTTATTAAACCAAAAGGTGAGAACATGTACTATTATTTACGTTGTTATATTCGATATTTTCATTTTTATAGAAGTTAGATTCTGCGCCACGAGATGAATGTATTGATTTTATAATGATGTAGGTAGGTTTATTTATTTCGTGCCTATGTACACGTTTTATTATAGACAAAAATACTACTAGATCTTACAGTTTGAAAGTGGTTCTAGTGGAAAATTGAATCAAGTTAATATACTTTCGAGAAGTCATAAGTAAAATTCCAAAAAGTTTTCAAAAATATTGAAAAAACAAAATTAATTAAACAAAATTTAGGGAAAATAGAAAATTTCACACAAAAGCCGTTTTTAACAAAAGTGATTTCGTTTTTTTTTTTTGCATTAGTCACTAAATAAAATATAACTAAAATCCTTACATTTTCACCAAATATACAAATTAGCATTTTCTACACTAAATTTACTTTAAAAATATATTTGTTCTTTTTGTAATATTCAAAAATATTTGAAATTTTTGACTAGAATAGTTTTTTTTTAATGATAAGATTGTAATTTATGAATTAAAAAAAAACTCAAACATTTTATACAAGGTTCCTCGTTAGTTATATACTTTTATATACGTACCTACTCTGGTTAACAAATATCGAAAATACATAGTCACAATTTTATTACGTGCATTATGAGTACATTTCAATGTAATACTCTTCACCCCTACGCATATTAGTATTTACTATACACAATTAAACTTTCAAAATGTGTAGTATAATATTAAACTATTTATTCTATAAACCTATTCACAATCATTTTTGATCAAAAAACAATATTTTCATGCTTATTATAGGATGCAGTATTTTAATCACATGTTTTAAAGGTTCCGTTCCAATTTCAAAAATAAATAAGATTAAAAGTTAAAATTAATTCTTATGCATTTTTCGTGCACCCTTACTTTCACTAAAAAAAATTAATGTATTCAATTTTAGAATTAACTATATATCATTGTATCAGTAAGAGTGCTAAGTTAGGCATGTAACTAAATTTTGAGCACAGGGTATATTTACAATAGTTACAAATTTACAATACAAATATCAAAAGATATTAGTGTCTTACTGTAACAAGCTAAAACACAAAAAAAATAAGTTAGTATTAAAAATAAATACCTGTAAGGGTTGTATTATTTGAAATTTAATTTGGCATAATAAATGATGATTTTAGAATTATTAATGCATTTCATTGTAATAATTATTTAGTAACTCAAATAAATAAATAATGCCAATGTTAACCTTTTTTTTCGAGTAAGAGATTTTAACATTTATATGTTTTTTGGCTGAGTACAACTTTTTTTTAACCTATTTTCTCGATAATGATTTTCACCCAAATCAACAAACAATAAAAAAATTTAATTAAATTCATAACGAAACGCAGCGATATAGTAGATGATATTTTTCCACTGAACTATTATATCTTAAAACATACGTATCTATGGTTTCATATTTTCTTGTTGACTTTTAACCTTTAAAAAATATCTTCTAATCGTGTGTTGAATGAAATTATAATAAATTGACTTTAAACAGTAATATATTTACACAAATATATATTACACAAAAATATATTCAATTGATATTATGGAGTATAAAAACTTATAAAAACTTAAGCTACTGGCTTAACTATTATTTACCTTGAATCACACACCACGTTAATGGGTCCCGTCTAAAAACTACGAATAAAAAAATTGAGTATAATTTAAATATGTGTATTACAGTTCTGCACAGATACCTATTATACACAAATATATTATTACACAGTTAAGTATGTAAGGTTAATAATAACTACACAGCCTTAGCCCTTAAGGGGTTAAAATGGAAAATTTTATATGTTGAATATCTTATGTAGGTACCTACATTTTGAAATTCCTCCGATTTTTACATCTTTATATATATTATAATTTATGTATACTTTTTTAATTACGATTTCTAAATTTTTGTCACTATTTGTCTTTATAAACACATATCGACCCGGATAATTGTAGTTTATAATTCTATTTCAAATTATTATAATTTATAATTCGTTTATTCGTATTTTAAAAGCAATCCTGCTTCACATAAATATAAAAATATGTCTTTCTTGATTATAATTGTTCAATCATTTATTTAAAAATTGCCTGAAATATATCATAGTTCATAACTATTCCCGATTCATTTTTCAACATATTTTCCATTATTTCTTTACAATCTCTTCCGTGCCTTTTTTCAATATCCGAATATCTGGAGATTTATGACTGAAATCCAGGTTCCTCCGGAATGTAAGCCCATGATTATAATGTGGTTTCGGTTAATAATAAAAACTTAAATAACACGAAGTACTTAACTTATATCACATGAAAAAATTATGAAAAAAAATTAAATAAGCTAAAAAATAATAAACTTTATTTTAAACGGGGTGACTATTTTCTCATCAAAAAAATATTAAAGCTTTTCAATTCTTTCTAGCAAATCATATTTATTCGTTAGTTAGTTAATGTTTAGTCCAATACTGATTTTTGAATTCAAACTGCTTACGCACTTCAAATTTTTGGAGGGTAATAATTTTAAGTTATCAATATAATTATCACCATATAATAAATGTTAAAATTAATTTAAGAGATAAGACAATTTTTTAAAATAATTTTCAACAAAAAAAAATTGCTGACGACTTGTCCTGTTATTTTATACTTTAATAACAATTATGAATTATATACTTCATATAGGTACTGCATTATATTCATTCATTGTTCTCGATAATGGTTTTTAATATCCTATTGAAATATTAGTTATTATATTTTGGTTTTATTTTTTTTGAATCATAGGTACTTACACGCATTTACAAACTTAAAACTATTATGGTACATCGCCGAAAATCCTAAAATATATTAAATATTGTGATCCATTATGTTGGTCAAATGTAAAAGTCATAAGTATAACTACTTTAAATTGATACGTTATAAGTAGGTTTAGAGAATATTATAATATGTGATTAAGTGTAATGCAATCTGCAGTTGTGTATTAGAATTTTCATTAGATTAATAAGCATATGTGATATGTGGTAAATAATGGAAATTCCCTAATGTACCTATTAAATATTCCATTTGAGATAGTATATCACTCATATCAGACGTTGCACGTTGTTAATATTGTAACTTGTATTTCATAGAAATAAAAGGAAGTACCTACCTACCGAAGGCGTATCTAAGGGGGCTTGGGTTTGCTTCAGCCCCCCTCCCCTAGAATTTCTTAACTGTGTGAGAGCAATTATGTTCCCATAGGTGCCTTATTTTGCTATAAAATATTTTTAGCACTCCAGCCTCCCTGACTTAAAAGACTAATAAGTTACCCACCTACCTTAAATAAATAAATATTAAATATAATTCTATGAAATAATTAAAACAACAATATATTCTTAGAAATTAGACTAATTAGAGTGAAAAAAAAGTTATAGCAAATACATTAATTTACCAATATACACTAAGAGGTGCAATATTATCAGACAACAATTGAATGGATAAATTATATGAAGTTAAATATCACTATAATGAAAAAATTCAATAACAAATATGGTACGAAAAAATCGACCATAAGTAATATAAGATATAGGTACTGGTTTGTAGAACCAAAAATTATGAAAATAAGAATGACTAACTCACTATAGGTACCTACTCAAAAGCTGAGCAGTACACAGAGTAAGAAATTATTATAATAATAAATAATTTTAATGAATTTTTTACAATTATTTGAATAACATTCAATCATAATAATTAGTTATTTCATTAGATAATTTGAATGATTTTTTAATCGAATAAAATGTTATTTAGATAATTATTTAGATGATATTATGTTGTAAGAATAATACCCTACTTTGGATATCACAATTCACAAACCTTTTGAATAGGTACAGATGGTTTGAAATTTACAAGTTCGTGTATTTGAATAACAATACATATAAACATTTTCCCAATTCTATCTAATACCAACGTAATAACATGAACAGTAAAGTTATTGTTTTATTAATTATGATAAAAGATTAAACTTTTGAAATATATAACACCCTAGTATGGTTCTAAAATAATGTTATAAGTCAAAAATCAGAATAGAACTTGGTTGAAGAAACTCGGGTTTTTACTTAAAATAACTTACCTGTAGGCTCTAAAATTTAAAATCAAATATGAATAGATAAAATTATTTTATTGTATTTAATTATAACATTTTAAAACCATTTAACCTAATGAAATTGACAACCCTTCATTCAATTGTAAATTATTATAGAAATAAGTATAATGATCGATTTTCACAAGCATTTTTACTAACTGCAAATACTCATTATTTAAAAAAAAAGTAAAAGTGTGTTTTAAAAATATTTTTTTACTAAGGTAATTTAATGCAATTACAAAATAACGTTTTTTAAGAAAAAAGTTATGAGTTAAAAAATTTTTATGCATTTTTCTTTTTTCATGAGAACTATAACGTTTGCATCAGAGTGAGTTTCCTTGTTTATCCCCATTAATGGAGTAACCGAGGAATATTTACAGGGAATCCCCTTCACGGAAATGTTTTACACCACGGTTGTTTGTTAAGTTAATAGTATATATATTTTCTTAATCAACATCATTTTCCCAACAAACATTAGTTTCATAATACTAAGCAAAATATTTTTCTGAAAATTATGAACGAGTTTTTAACTACCTAGTTATAAGTTATTATCAATCAAATAAAAAATGTAGGTTGTCATTCAAAAAACTAAAACCTTGAAAAAAGAAATAATAAAAAATAGAAGCTTTCCAAAAATGTTTTGTGCAATGACATCAAATTATGTAAAAAAATATTTTCAATAACGGTAATACTCTTTGAGTTGTTTATCGTTTGCTATTTAAATTAACACCCTATACAGTTTTCGATTGTATATAGAGCTGGGATTTGTATGTAAATTCATATTTTTACTAAGACGTGATAAATTAATCGTTGCAAATTAAATTCGTTTCACGTGATTTGCAACAAAATAAGACATATTTTACTTTACATATTTCGTCATAAATAAATATTTGTACATAATTTATAAAATGTCTACTTTTTTTACAAATTTCATAAATTTTGACAAAAAATCCAATATGTAAAATAGTTTGTTGATTTACATCATCAAAATTGGTGGTTTGGTATTATTATACATTTAAACTTTGATAATAGTACCTACTCTTAAAAATTGTAATTGTATATAAGTATAGAGTCTATTTAAATTTAACAGGTTTACATATATTTGAATTTTTTTTATTTTTTATTTTTATTTTTTACTAAGTATTTTAGCCATTTTCATTCCATATATATGTACACACTATTAGTTTTTTATTACATATTAATCGTAGCCCTAGTTATGCACAATAGGTGTACCAAATATGTGAATTTTGTAAATACTTAAAATAAATTGGCAAAAAAACATACGTTAGAGTATAAACAGATTTCAAAAAATAATGTTAGCATAATTTTAAAATGTTCAACTTTTTTAAATGATCTGATATATTTCAGTTCGAATTTTATTCATGTAAGCTACCACATTATTTAAAAAGGACACCACACTAACATGTGTTACCTCCGTCTAACAAACGTACAAAAATAATAATTATCTATTAGATTATAGCTGGTATTAAAATAAAACTACCTACAATTATCAAACTTAAAATATAAAATTTGATGTTCATCTGTAATTTTTTTTGTATAATTAAGATACTTTAATTTTCAAGGAAGTTATGAGTACCTGTAGATATATTATTATAATCGCATGACAAAATTAGTTCTTCAAACCTCAAATTTGTTATGTTGTACGTTTGTTAGATATAAACAACATAACATATTAACATGTGGTCATGGAGGTATGTTTTCACTTGACATTTTAGAATACGCTTTTATTTTTAATAAGTATCAGGTTTTCTCTAGTCATTCACGTATGTTTGTAATTTAATTTAATAATATATTATATTAAATACCAATTGTATAACTTTTTTCTTCTTTTTTTTTCTCACCACGTTTATATATCCCTATAGTCACAATAAATATTTTTTATTAAATATACCTTCATAAAGTTATCTATTTTCTGTATTTTTATTTTTTTCTTCCAGAGTATAGGTACTCTATGAAGTGCGTTTGAAAAAATTATTCCATGGATTGAAAAGAATCATACCTACCATTAGATGCAATTTATGCAAACGGGTAAGTACTCAATAAAAATAAATGTTATTATAGTAAAATAACAACTAATAAGTAATAACAATAATGACTAAAGACAATTGTTCCAGTTAGGCGACACATTCAATTTTACTCACATTTAAACATCTTATGGATTGAATTTTGATTGGTCTCTGGGACAAATTAAATGCTTGTGGATTTAACTCAACTTAAACTCCGTTAAACACAGATATAATATAAAATAAACTATATTGCTAACTGTGACAATACATAAAGCTACCATACGCTATTTAAAAAGAGGCCAATGGGGCCTTTCTTCTTTTACAATCCCTGATAACCCCCCTCGTTGCCTCAAACGCAAATGGCCGCGTGATTTATTAAAAAATGCCTAGTGCTACTTATTATAAAGTTACCTCCCCCCTTAAGTTTAAATTGGAAGTAGTGTCACTGGACACTCCCTTCCCTCAAGATTTTCATGTCCTGTAATATTGTACTCATCATATTTACTTATTATATAAATTGTTTATGGATTGTAAATTTTCTTAAATAAAAAAAAAAAAAGTTTCAAATGAAACGATTCGCAACTGTTTGTAGTTGTTCGGAAAAAATTGAAGAAGACGCCTACATTTTTGGATTAAATTTTGACGTTTCATCAATAAAATTATCACATATTTAATCACAGAATTTTTTTAACCTTGGGTCATCAGGAACGACTGACGTACAATCTTCATTAAAGCTTTTACTTACTTCTTCTGCATTTAATAATAGTCTTTTATATTTTTTTTTTATTAAAATAAATAATTTACAAATATCAACCGGTGGAATCAATAAATAAAAAACTTCGGCGGAGTCGATAGCCGGCGGAATCAATAGATTTTTTACAGATAAAAAGGTAATTTCGGTGCAATCGATATACGCCAATTTTAACAAATACAAATCATTTAATGTTTATCATAAACACGAGTGATAGAGAACATTGACTTCGATTAAAATGGCAGCCTGTAGCTTCAGCCAATTACACAAGTGCTGTATCCCGGTAAACAATCTAGTGTATTCTATAAATCTAAACTGTTAAATGTTATGTTCAACTGTGTGCCGATTTTAAACACAGTTATTTGAATTGTTTTAACCAAATATATAATATACAGGTCTAAAATTATATTTAGTCATAATACCTATATTTTATTTCTTATAACCAATGGAAACAATGTATGATAAATAAAATCATAAAAGTTTTTTCGTGTTTCAACTATATTCAATATTTACGGGTTTAAAAGTAAAAGTATGTAATAAAAAATAGAGCATGACACGATGGATTTGATTCTATTGACGACATTTGATAAAAATCAGTCAAAAACTGTGGATTTGAAAAAAGCTGTTAAACCCAAAGTCCCCCGGAAAAAAATGAACAAATATAAAATGTAATTCTATATAGGTATATCTCAGTTATAATGTACCTTGGTTCACAGGCAAAGTAGGGTCAGTGTACCTAGCTTTGTCAAATAATTCGACCTAGATAGGCAAACGTAAGTAGAAAATGAGGTTTAGCACTATTGGTAAGTATATTTTTTAAGCCACTCTCTAAACTTTTCTGATATCTGCACAAATAATACTTGAAATTTTCGTCAAAATCAATCAAGTTGTTTTTCAGTTTATAAGCTATAAACATATTATAATTGGTTTTAAGATATAATTTCTTAATTCAAGGACGATTCAAACGCGATGGTTTGATGCAAGCTATTACCTCACCTGCCTGATTAAAAATGGTAATCATTGGTATAAAAAAAAACACTAATTTCTACTATTACTATTATAATCTGCAGACTGCAACAAATGGCAACCATTCATAAACTTAAAAAAAATGTCCACAGTCAATCTCAAAATCATTGTTTGATGACCTCTTTAAAATGCGAATATTGGAAATTCCTTTCTTAGATAACCTAACCAAGGTTATCAAATAATTATTTTTAATAATAATATTACAACTTTAACAATTGATCATCTTATTTAAGATTCTGAGTGGAGCGATGAATGTATTAATTTTACAATGATTATAGGTAACGATATAAGTAGTCGAAATAATGCTTCGATTTTCAACTTCGATGCCTTTTCCGGTGGTAAAGTAAATCTAGTTAGTACATTTGGGTGGTCAAAATTTTAAATTCCCCCCTGTTGAAACTTATATAGATAAAAAATGACTAATCCATCAACTTATCTAGATAACTATTGTGACATTAATGTATTCTTTATCTTAGATGACACATTTACTTATATATTTCATTATTTAATATTCTCAATACTGTTCGATACAAAAAAAGAAACATCATTGTAAAATTAATGCATTCATCTTCATTCTCTTTGCACTAAAGAATCTAAATAATCTAATATAAAATATACCCATACCAGTGTAAATTATAGAGTAATGACGAAATAATTATTCAGTAAATACATTTTTTCGTAAGGTGCAAAAATGATTGCCTTACAAATTACAATAAATTGATATAGATCTTCGTTGTAAAATTTAAATAAATATATAAAACATTGTTTTATACATTTTTAATAATTGCTGGTTTCTTCTCATAAACCGCTTAACAGGTGGGCAATAACGAATGAACAGCATTATCAAAAAGACGAGTATGGAGTATGGAAATAATAGATTAAATTATAAAAAAAAAGAGAAATATTTTCTTTTTGTAAAATATTCAAATTCACAGAAAAGTTATCCACAATATTGTAGGATGCATAAGCCCATTGAAAATTAATACAAGGCATAATTTTGGAGAGTAAAAATGTTCCCTGCTATGCCCCAGCAACACAGCAAATAATGACGCATCTGAACAACTTCAGCTGGCTACAATTTGTTGTTTCTCAATTGTTGTTACTGTTATTTGTGCAATCCGATAGATTTGTGTATACAATATACATTATAGGCACAACACTCCTTGTCTATACTAATGATATTACAGTCCACACCCATAAATATAAATACTATCCAAAGAGGATATTAATAAAACTAAAAATGGCTTACTTGAAGAAATAATAGCTAAAAATTAAAATTAAGTAATTTAAAACAAATAATATAATCCGTAATTATTATTTATTTATCATTCATTACCCATGGTATAATACATAATTAACCATTAAATATTATAAATAATATTTCTATACAATTGTACTCTATTTTCAAAAATAAATTTATATGAAGATGGTAAGTATAAAATATAAATGTAATTATAAATAAGAAAAAATAAAATATAAACCAAATCAAGACAAGCTATATATATTGAAAATAATTATTTCCTTCTGGCATTATTTTCCAAAAAAGACAATTATGAATATTACGTATATTGTCTTAAGAGTGTTCACAATATTTAAGTTTCACCTAATCATAAGGTATATATATTTTTTCTAAATATGGTTACTCAATAACTGTTCATATAATTATTATTCATCTCTATGAAAAAATACTAAAATATAGGTGCATTTAACCTAATAAATTTAAAAACTTACGTAGAGTCATCGGTGTCATTACCGTTTCTGCAATAATTTAAATTGTAAATACATACCGACTACAATTTACATAAGTAAAGACTAATATTTACTCAATTTTCAAAAAATTTCATTTCATTTTATTACTCAATTATAATATCAAATGTGCAATATTGTACATATATACCTCATATAATACATATCATTTAATGTTCAACTAATTATTGAGAACATGAACTAAGAATTTCAAATAAATATAAAAATGAAAACAAATTTGTGCAAATAATATCTTCTGAATAATGTGAAATTTTTAATTAATTACTTTTATTATATTTTAAAATAGCAGGCAGTACATTTCCCTATTAAATAACAGTAGTTACTCTTACCGTGACAGACTAGAATTACAATGAAACAAAAACAAAAATTAACTTGTATATTTTGAACTTACAAATAGTAAAACAAAGTTAAAGGTACATTTCTTTACTTTACTTTAACGAGACGTTTAAAAAAATAATAATTTAAGATACCATTATATTTCACGAAATATTACATGGGTCATAAGACAAAATGTTTAGTTTATTTACCTTTAATAGTACAACCATGTGTGTCTTTGTTACTTTTGCCTTCAAAAATGAAAATTAAACAAATAATTTCATCATATTTTTGTAATAATGGTGTTTAATTATTCTAGGCTTCTACCCATGTACACACATACATGTACTATATGCAATGAGTCAGATAAAAAACAGCAGTACTGAAAAACACATGAATAAGCTGGACTAATCGAGATAACAATGAAGGAATAAAACAGAAAATCAAGGTAACAACCGAGAAATCAATGTTTTAACAACAGAATCTCCAACTCCTAAGAGAATACAGTGTGGCTGAGAGGCGTGGTTACCGTCGAGTGGCATAGTGGAAGTATAGAATGAAAAGCTAAGGTTAAATCAAATATGAGATGTCTATAATATATACTCGTTTGTGCAGAGTGTTAATTTTTGCAGAAACCACCCGATAATGGATAAATTTCTACCTAAAAAAACATTAGGTAACTATTGCATTAGCAAAGCACTTTGGAACAATTCAAAATTTAATACCTACACATTTTATTTTTTTATTATTATTAAAAAGTATATCCACGCAACAACGGCCGTAGAAAAATATGAAAAAAATGAATAGTGATAACGATGATCTTAAAATTAAAATAAGTAAATTACATTATTATTTTACATTTCATAGTAAGTAATAAGTATGGATATCGGATATTTTGATATATTTAAATAGGTTGATTGTAAATTTGTAACAGTAGGGTCCGGGCTGAGGATTAGGTGCATGAAGGTGGGTAGAGGAGATGATTTCTTATCGTTATAATTGAAAATTTCGAATACCGGTAAGTTACACACCAAATAAGCAACTTATTGCTGAAAGCTATACGAAAGAAGCTAAAAAGCTAAAAAAAAGGTGAGGTTTCACTATAAAAGTGAACAAAAAAAGCGTTCCATGGATTGAAATATTAAAGAAACACTATTCTAATGGTTCAATTTAAAAAAAAAAGTAAAGAGATGTTTTCTCTGGTCAACAGCTAATCTTTTTAAAAAAATGCGCTTCCCCATCTCAACGGCCCACCAATGAACACTGATTTTAAGATTTTTGCTCTGAGATTACTACTTATTATGTTTCTACATCTTCAGATCTTCTGAAGTCTATCCTCCCATCCACAAACGCCTCTTTCTCATATTCTTAGTAACCTTCACATTATTGGAATTAAACTACTCCATTTCTCCAAAGCGTTCGATAACCTACGGGCATGATAATATTTCTCTGTTAATACTAAAAAACGTATCTTTCTGTGTGCTCTTAATTTCTTACTCGAAGTCTTAAATTATATCTTGTCTACCAATTATACTCCATCTACTTGAAAATCATATAAAATTATTCCTATTCCCAAATAAAATTCTAATACGACATTTCGTCCTATCGCTTTTTTCTTTGCATTGTGTAAATTTTTTAAACAAATTCTCAAAACTCAACTCGACTGGTGGTTAAAATATTATTCCATATTACCAACTAATCTCTTTGCGTTTAGGAAAGGCATAAGCAGTATGGAATACCTTTCAACATTTATTGGTAGTATTTATCAGTCCGTCAATGTTACCAATGTTTCATTGTTACCAAATTCTTTTGTAGATATTTGTGGTGCCTTTGACTCAGTTATAATATTCCGATAATAGTTTCTAAACTTTTCTCCATTGGTTTATCTCCCACCTTTTGTAATATTATTTTCTCTTTGTTTTCTCGTTGGAGTCTTTCTTTTACTTCCCCTTTCGGCTCACAATCCACACTACTCTCTCATCCACAAGGTAAATGTCTCAGACCGATACTTTTTAATGTTTTTATGAATACTACTACAAGCCACCTTTCCAGTCTTGGCTATAAATGACTCATTTATGCTAACGATATTGTTATTTTCTCTTCAAATAAATTCCCCGACCTTGCTATTGAATCACTTAACCCCACCCTCATTGAACTTAAAAATATTTTTAATAATCTATTTTCCTCAGTCGTTTATGACAAATTTAAATCTATAATAAAGGGTGGTGCACTGAAGCGGCCCATTTTAAAAATAGATTTTCTCAGTCGTAATCAAGAAAAGAATTCTCACTAAATATTATTAGTTCAAACACAATATGCCATTTAGTAAACGGCATAACAGTGGAGTGGTGAACAACATACTTATGCGATAAAATCGTTACAAAAATAATAACGGTTACGAAGCCGCACAGCGTTCATTTCGTCTTCATCCTCGATCACTTATTCGCCTGATTTATCAGCATGAGAATTTTGTTGTGAGGATATTTAAAAAGTAGTCTATGCACATTGCACATAAACCTCGAAATATTGTGAAATATTAGTTTATAATTCCATTTTACGGTCCAAACTCGATTCTGGATGTTTCCTCTTTGGTTAATCATAATTTTCCAATTGAAAAATACTAATTAAAGTTCAAGTGGTGGAATCCTTGTACCCTATTTTTAGTATCAGATGTCGTTGGCTTGAAGGCAAGTTCCTCCTAAAATCCTTATTTCACTATAGTTGTTCAATTTTCGATATCTATTATTTTATAAATGAAGGCCAAATCTTCCTCTAACTTAACCAGTCCTGTTTCTCTAACACCTGGTCAGGCTTTACTCCACTCCTGCGACGTCATGATTCTGATCTTAAGTCTATTTATTGGAACAACCACCTATATTTATCTCCAAATGTAAATCTAATTTTCATAATATTGGAAACGATATTTGGTTAAAAAATCTGTCACTATACAAATCTTCTGTTATACATTTCGTATTAACAATTTAATGCTTTTTAGTGAAACAAACAAAACAAAATTACATCCACAAAAAAACATAAATTTCTGTAAAAATGATTCGTAAGACTTAACATATATTTCATCAATAGGTCAATCCATTGAGAGGGTAATAAAAGATTCGTCTATCCTAACAGTTCTTTTATTCGGAATTAAAATAAATACCTATCTACATAATAACCAGTCAAAAAATTTAGGTTCCCCCTCAAAATATCACGAGCATCAAAATACCCCTCGTTCAAAATCAACCGTCAACATAAATGGCTTCAGGTTCGGTTTTTTAGTTTTTAAAAATTTAAAAAATTAAAAAAAAAATTTTATATTCTGTATTTGTCAACTTATTTGATCATTTTTATTATTTCAACAAAATACAGATATTCCTATTACAAGTTCTAATAGTACCTGATTACGCGACTTAATATAAAGATATCTAAGATGAGGGTACCATAAATGACTATACATTGAATTCTACTGATATACATTATATACTATGATATGCATAATGTATGTATGTTAGTATGACTAACATAGTTTACGAGAAGTTAGACAGTGGTTCTAATTTGTCATTAAAAAAAAACATTTTTTTACATTGTTATGAATTAAGGGATAATATTACTGGGAATATTTTGTATATTGGATATTTTTAGTTGGGATATTTGTAACCTTGATATTTTCAACGTGACAACGTAGGATATTTGTAATAGGGATATTTTTAACGGAGGACATTTTGAACGAGGGATATTTTGAGAGTGCACCAAACAATTAGTAGATTACACTTAGTTCTTACCTAGTGCAAGTGATGCATCATGGATATATTTATCATATTCATTACCTAAAAAATGAAATATTTTAGTAATATTTAAAAAAATTTAATGTACATCAAACAAATAAAAATTGTAATCAATTTTAGGAACTCACTTAGTAGAAAAAAAATATTATTTAATTTAAATAAAAAAAAATAAAAAAATTTTTTTTTTTTTTTTATTTTTTTTTAAAATATAAAATATTATTTAATTTAATTGAAAAATTTTTTAAAAGAATATTACATTGCAGATTCTCTGCTTGTAACATATTTTTAAATTATAGTTATACCATCTGACCCGGCAAACGTTGTTTTGCCAAAAAGTTTTTTTTTTATATTAAGTGAAGCCGGCGAATTTAACGCCTTCAGATAAACTTTATAGTGATAATAAAACATATAGTTCAAGAATTTTTTTATTGATTCATTTGAATTGAAACAGAAATCAGTTGAGTGCAAGTTTATGCGCCGTCGTGCATTCATCCCAAATGAAGATTTTGTATTCTCGCATCAATTTCGCTGTCACTAAATTCTTAGTCATTGTGCACGTAGGCTTGTCAACCGCGAGAAGATTCATTGGCAGTTTCAAAGCGGAATGTGCAGTTCCAACATTGTAGCAGCAATGTCAGAGGATTCAACAGCCAACGCAATTTGAGATCTTGACCGAATAGTTGCCAGAATCAAAGAAATGAAGAACGTTTTGCCTGTCCCACCTGGAGCATCGAGAAAGTAAATGCCTCCCGTTCCATCATCAACAACCTTCATCAGCGAATCGTATACATTCTCCTGCTCAGCATTCAACATTCTCCCGCTACAATTCAAGATTGAATGCATCGTGCGTCAAATGATTTGGCGCTTGCATTTCCAATGTTGACAACAGACTTCCGCACATGAGCACGCACATGTCTTCGATCAGAACTAATGCTTCGTTGCGCATCTCGTCATTAATTTCAATATAAAATTTGAAGTTGTCGTGAAAACTCTGTGCAAAATGTCTTCAGCCATCTCGTCCTTGTATTTCTCCCACAATGCAGTCGGGTTCGATGGATGACATGTGGCTATGATGATCGCAAACAACGTACAAATTTGATTCACTGGCGGAGAAACAGTTGCATCGGCGAGTGTTGAGTCCCAATATATATCGTTTTCGAGCAAATTCAAAAGTTGGCAAGCCTCCCCAAAAGTGGCACAGCACACCATCCACGGAATTGAAAGATGTCGGGCCCCTAATGTTCACCAAAAGTAAACGTCTTGGCGTTTATGAACTGTGTTCGTCCGAGGGCATCAGTTGAATAGACATCAGCGAAGCCAGCAACAGCATCATCTTTCTTCCTGCGTTGAAACTTTTTCGATGCAGCATTCCATGTATAATAAGCGGGGCATTTCCGAATATAGTAAAGTCCTAGAGAACGGATCGCTTTTGCATGTCGAAAAAAAATTGTTCATGTTGTCACTAGTGATCGTTCTGCTCTTTACGCTGCATTCGCTTCCGTAAAGTAGACGCGCTGGCTGTTCTCCAAGTGAAGTGTCAAATGTACGACAGTCGGGAGACGTTCATGAATCAGAAATGAAAACAGCCGCCAAATCGCCTCATTACAACTCACGTAACGTCCAAGTTGAAATTTCATCACCTCATCGCTTGCATTTGGATCAGCAATGCCAAACACTGCCATGTTACTCCCTTTATTCACATATTTGCAAACGTATTTGATAGATTTAATGGAGTTGCAATACTCAACATTGCGGTGAGTTGAGAACGTTTTCAACAAAAATGGACAATATAGAACGATCCTGCGATTATCGACGACGAAATCGTTTCCTTTCACTTTCATCATGATTAATCTGCCGTTGTCATCTGGAGAACGACATCGATACAATGGATACCCGTCGATTCCACTGATTGTGTCAGCCACCAACGGACGGGGAAAACCCTTTGTGCAGTTGGCGTTTTCCACGATGACCCTAGATTATGAGTTCCGCAAGGGCCATGTATTATGTTTGTTGTCACAACGGAATGCACCTCAGGATCAGTTTCTAGATTTGTTATTTTGGCAGAAATTATCCAATCAATATGATCTGGTCGGATCTTGTCGAATATCCAAAGCAGAATGTGTGCATGTGGTAAACCACGCTTCTTCCATTCAACCGAATACATCCAACAACAGAATGCGCCAAAGACCTTCTGCTCAAATATGTAATCCATGAGTACTATGATCTTTTGTTTGAATACTCGTGCAGTAATACTCGATCACTGGATGTTTGTCCTGGTAGCAACTGATCTGTAATTTCAGGCCATTTCGGATTGCAAGTAAACGTGATGAACAAATCAGGGCGTCGGTAATTCCGAAAGTACGTCATCGCATCTTGAGCATATTCATGCATGTGGCGCGGGCTTCCAACATGCCTAGCTAGGAGAATGGTCAAACGACCAATGTTGGCCGCGTCTCCTTCGGTAGCGATGGCATCACGCAAGTGGATGTACTCGTCTGATCGTAACTTCGACTGATTGCTGAATTGACTAATGAAATTGAGACTCTCCGTTTTTACCTTGACGTACATGTCGACGTAGTACTGTTGAAACAACCTCTCAATAGAAGATTTTCAACATCGTGCCGAATCATCAATTGATATGCATAAAAATTCATTAACCTGACATTTTTATTCGTTTCTTCTCATGAAATGTGAATTTGAACTTGGTTATAGTATGAAAAAGAAATGATAACCTGTAAACAAACCTGTCATTGGATTGACTATCTTTATATTTAAGTGATTGCCATCCCCTCCACGACAGAACATCAACGGGTATTGAAGTGCATCATATGACCGATGAGTCTCATACACGCGCTGCAATTGTCCACCATCGCGACGCTTGAGAACAATATCGCGTGATGCCACATTCTCGCCAACAATCACCACTGCGACTTCATTAATAGTGGGAGCATTGAATTGTCTTGCATGGCTTCCAGAGGGTCTTTTGTCTGCTCTTATAATGATTTTGTGGTCGTCAAAATGCATTGTGTCCAACGCGGTTTTGAACAATCTGACCAATTTATTATGCTCATGCAGAAGATTTTGCAATTGTACGATCGTTTCACGTTTAGTCTAAGTAAAAATTGCACAACGCTGATCTAGTTCAATTGCCGGATTACCAACGAAATAGATCTGAAGAAACTTATGATCTTCATTTGGTGATGGTAACAAAGCGCCCACTCGATGGTGAATTTGTCCTTGAATCTGAATATTTAGGTGGTCATTTGTAAAAAAAAGTTATTGTTATTATTATAATTATAATGCGACGCCCCATTACCTTATAACTCAGATTGTAGCCTGGTTGATCAACAACTTTGGCTCCAAATGATGTAATTTGAAAACATCCGTTATATTTTTGTGTATTTGCCAGGAAATGTTTTGATTGGATTGTATTTATAGAGAAAAGAATACAATGGTGGTTGAGCCAAAACAAGCAATTTAACCTTGCCACCAGCGCAGCATACCCCGGGAGTTTCCGATCGAAACTTCAATGCATTGCAATGCTGGCATACGATAGACAATGAACCGATATCAACACAGAAAAGATCTTTATAGGCGATTGCTGAATCGTATTCGAAAGCAGCGCGATTCAAGGCTAAATTTGAACTTCTTCTATTACCATGTTGTCGAATTTGAAGTGGTATTTGTGCAGCGCGAACCTGTATAATTTGAGCACATCTCAATTCATTTGCTTCTGCACGTTCCTCTTGCGTTTGATTAAAACGGACATTCCCACAAATTATTGCATTACGCGTACGTCGTCTAATGTTTGATCTTCTAATAGGAGGCATTAGTCAAGCAAAAAACTCTCTCCAAAAAATAACAAAGTCGTTTTTGATTAATCCTATTGAAAAGAAAATACTCTTAAAAAAACTGCAAAAAAGTTATAATACCTTTAGAGGATTCGAACCACGACGGTTCACCACTCTTTAAACGACACATTAAGCCATTCGGTCAACACTGCAGTTGGAATTAAGGGAGCGTAATAAAGTTGTTAAGCCCATGTAGTAAACTCACGTTTAAATTTTAATTAAAATAATAAATTTTTTTATTTTTTATTTTTATGTCAGCAATAATATGCATGGATGGATAATTTGTAATTAATTTTTTTACTATAACAACAAAAAATTTAAACAATATTGGCATTTACTTTTTCTCATAATGATTAGATAAATTAAACATTTTCATGTTATAAGAAATGCGGGTATAAATAAATGATTGCTAATTAGTAAAATAAAATAAAATAAAATTGTACTCACTCAGTTTTCCTGGTGACACCAACAACGGAAAATGGAAAATGAAGTCGTAATAATCGAAAAATCATATTTCATATAGATAAAACCTACATTTTATCCCTACTATCGACAATTGCGTTCAGTGTAAAGAGAGGGTATTTAAGGCTATAAATAAAATCGAAAGGAATAAAACGATACGAAAATTAACACTTTACAAAATTTAAACTTTACTTTATATAGTGAAACATAATATTAATACCTAATATTCAATACACGACAAATTTCTCCATGTTGATCCATTTTTTGTTTGTTGGGCGGGGGCCCCATTTTAACGATTAATTATGTCATATGGACGATTTTATAAGCTAAAGCTTGCTGTAGCTTTTTCAATTCGAAAAAAAATTCGGGAAATCAAAAAATAAATCATCAAAAATATTTTTAAAAATAAGGGTTTTTCTTCTTAAACCTTCTCCTGGAAATTACGAACGATAAAAAAAATTTTAAGCCAAATCGGCTCAGCAGTTCTCAATTGATGAATTATTATACATTTTGGGCTTCATTTTTATATATATAGATTTATACAGGCAATAATATTATTATTGTTTTTAAAAACTATTACACATATTTCAATGAATTGATAAATACAGAGTGTAACAGAAAGATATGACAAAAACTTGTGTTCTAATCAATGTTTTTAATTTTTTTTGTCCATAGAATTAATAGGCATTAAATTAATTAAATCATTTATTAAATAATCGTATTATACATATTAATTACGTTATATTAATTATAGGAAAAAAAAATGAAAAATATTAATTAGAACGCAAGTTATTCCATTTTTTATAACTTTCTGTTACACTCTCTACACAAATTATTTAAGAGGATGCTACACCCGCATGTGTTATCTTCGTCAATCGTCTTACAATTAATGTAGAAAGTAGCAAAAACTGTTTTGCGCGGGAAAGAACAAAGTGGGTACAGTCATTAACTTATGACTCAAACTCAAACTGAAATTTTCACCACAGAAAAAGAAGAACTTTGGCTGTGATATGCCGTTTTATTTTTTTCAATATCGAGACAACAAAAAAAGTTATTCAAATTTGAAAAACACAAAAATAAAGGGTTTTTTAAACAATAAGAACTTATTTTGTATAAGTAATATCAGAAAATAAAGACGATATTTCACTAATAGTGTTCTCAGCTATATTATATATAAATTTGGAGTCTTAACTATCACTACAACCTGCATGGTTCTATCCCGCGCAAAACATTTTTTACCATGTTGTACATTTGTATGACGGAGACATCGAATGGCGTAGTCTTCTTAATATAGGACATAGGTACAAATGGTTTTTAGTTTAATTCATAGGTAAAAATGTTAATTGAAAAATCCACCAACCCTAATATTGTAAATTAATGTAATATCAATATTTATGAACAATAAAACAACAATTTAGGTACTCCTATCTCACTGTTATTGCGCTGCTGCCGAAACTCCATGACAAGCAGGCTGTACAGTCGTAAATTTGTAAGATACCCTTCAACTAAAATACCAAAAATAGTTTACTATGGTAGTATATTGTACGTAATAAAGGTATGGGCATTCGTAATTATTTTGAAAAACAACATTCGTATTTTTAGACGAACCAATAGCTGATTGTAATTAATTAAATTACATATTTATACATAGGTATTTACGTATAAACGTTAGTAAATTTATTTTAAACTTAGTACCTGCTGACTCTATTTTAATCTTTATCAGTTTTTTAAACTTTTGGTGTATTGGTGTTAATTATTAAGGTATTTGCATTCAATTTACTATTAAAATAACTATAGATATACATTTTTATGAAGTGATTGATAAACTGGCCAGAGAAAGAAACTTGATTTTTTTTATTATCTGGCCTTAAACAAATAATCAATGTAATATACTAAAAATAATGATTACTTGTGTAATCTAATATGAAGTTGGTATTCTAGAATTCTAGAATGGAGAGTACACTATACAGCAGCGGTTCTCAAACTGTATTCCGTGGAGTCCTAAAGCTCCACCATAGTAATCTAGGGACTCCGCGGTCATATTATTAGCTATATCAAATTAAAATTAAATAATATTTGGTTTATTGTGTTACTTTTACTAATTTATAATAACCCACATATTTTGTTTTATAGTAAAAAACGATGTTGGACGGTTGAAGATTTTATTGATTTTATCATTTATATCGTATATTATGATAATAAGAAAAAAATTAATAAACAAATCGTACACGCATGTTTTTTCATAAGGAGTGTATTTTATGAGTATTCCAAATATTTGGGGTTCTAATTTTTTTTCGCAACATAAGGGCTCCACGAAGAAAAAATTTTGAGAAACGCTCCTATGTATAGCATGCAGTAGGAATGTATCGGAGACTTCAAAGGGGATGTTGGAGGCGAAGCCCCTATTTTCCATATACGTGATTCAATTCCTTATTCCCTTCCTTAAGCAATTCCTAAATATGCCTCTGTTTGTGTTTAACAAACCATTATAGTTTTATGTCATACGCAAGAAACTATTTAAATTTAAGGTACATCTTATTCATATCTAATTCTTAAAATACAATTTTAAATTTTAAATAAATAATATTCATCTATGCATGTACGTACTTGATGGATGCGCAAACAAAAAGTAACACTCTAGAACGAAAATAAAACACTTAATCCTAAATTAAACTTTATTTTAAATTGTAAAGTTAAATATTTCACATTAAAAATATATTGAATGATTCTGTTTTTTTTTAATCATACAATACCTGACCAAAAACATTTTTTTTTTAATGTAAATGATCGTTTTTATTTAAAATATGAAAAATATAATTAGTTTTAATGCCTCAAAATAACTATTAGGGTTTTTAATCACTTTATTCTAATTAAAGATAGTAAATGAAAAAAAGTTTTTAGTTTATTTTGAAATGAGTATATTGATGAGTAGATAATAATTACCTATAAAGGATAATAGAATGTACCTATTCAATATAAAATATATTTATTTATTTTTAAACCTATACTAAACTTTATAACTTTAAATATTTTAAATACTAATATAATATAGGTACATTCAGAATGATCTTCATAAACTAATAATTAGTTAATACCAAAAATTAAAACTGATTGTTTTCCTATTTTTTATAAAAAAAATTAATAATCTTTTTTTAATGGTTTGTTGAACAACTATTTGTTTAATTTCTGTGAAACACAAGACACCATATTAATACTATTATAGTGATTTACCTTGAATCTCACAAAAAGTTTCTGGTGGTAGCATACGTCCTAAAATCAATACATTTTTCATTTTCCATTTTTATAAGTATTTAATTATACATATTTTCATAGTACGCTGAATAGAATACTAGTAGAAATATTTAAATTAAGTATTTTCGTGTGTAACTTGGAACAACATGCTGTCCAACTTCCCTAAAAAACACAATATTCTGGATTTCCTCAACCCTATTTCTCAATCAAATCTTACCTAACTAGTGACTGTGTGACTGACCAACACTTCCAAATTCATATTAGCTCTTTGATTTTGAGAACTTCTAAAAATTAATTCTGGAGTCCCTTAAGTATCTTATTAATCAAAAGCAAAAAGCTTTTTAACATGATTGCCAGTTAACCAACCCGCCATGCAGTAAACTGTTGTGATAGATTATGCCGACCACAAAGCCAACATGTTAATATTATGCTATTAGTCTAAATCCAATCCAAACTGCTTCATCTGACCTAAAAATTCATCAAAATCTCATGTCCAAGTAAAAAACCAAATGATGAGTTAAAATAAATCAAAGCAAATCAATCCACACAAGATACACACTCAAACAGAGGGTGACACGAACCCGGACAAACACCGTTTGAATTGATATTTACTCCTCTGCTTACTTATTTTGTCAGCCACCAACTCTTGGTATGAGACACCAGCGCATCCACTTACAGAGTTACAGCTATTGGAGAAGCACTGGAACTCTGCCATTGCCAACTAATATGATTAATCTGTCCTTAACGTCTACGCACCATGCAAAACTCATCCATCCGTACTACGTGACACCAGTTTTATTATGCTATTTTGATTTAATCTTTGCTTGACTGATTCCATCGTATCTTTCAGCAACATAACTTGCTTAATATATTATATTGTTTTTCACAAATACGACAAGCTCGGTCAGTACTTCTTTACTCGTATACTACCCAATTACTATAATCAGTATCTGTCGATCAACTGTTTTAACTTGTTGTTTTTTTAATTGGATAATATCTGCCGGTTAGTTGCATTGTCAAAATAAAAAAAAACTTTCATCAGTTTCAACCACACACTTATAACCTCACCGAGACAAGTCTAGAAGGATACTCTACTCGACCGTATCAAGTGTAAGCTTAATTTTTACATTAAATAGGAATAGTCCCGATTGCTACGTTAGTCGGGTACCTGCGGTATTCAAGTTAGATAAGCGACTGACATGGAATATTAGAATACATTTCTTTTAGCAAAAATATTGACTCTTTATACCGTATGCTTAGTCCTCTTTTATCTAAAGATACCAGTTTATAACCCAAGACTAATGTTTACAATGTATTTACATACTCTTCAGAATCTATTTGGACTCATGGACTACAGCTTGAGGCACGGTGAAAAAAAATAAAACACAAATAAAATCCAAGCCTTTTAAAATAAACCTCTTCACTGACTATTCAACTCTCTACCATATTTATACCTCCAACCAGCTAATTCTACATAATGATTTCTATATGAAAATTATTGATGAAAAAACATATGCCTTTTATATGCGCTTTTATTAGTGACTCGATCTCATCTCAATCTCATCATAAAGGAACTTTCCGTCCTTAGTCACAAGAAAATAAGTGTTTTAAAGAAATCACCCTGTTTAAGCTTTTAACATTAACCGATAAAAATAAAAATAATGTTTTTTATTTTTTTTAAAACCAAACACACATTGAAAATAATTATACTACGTTAGACATACCGGGTCTTTTAACAAGTGATACAAGATCATTCAAATAGCTAATTCCATAACCTAAAATGTGTATATAAATAATATATATTATACTATTAGATAGATACGTTTAAACATAACTTCATCACGGTAGAATGCTAAACGATTCAAACTGTGAACAATATATCATTTAGGTAATAATTAAATTTTACGTATTTTTTAGGCTGAAATATTATAATTTCACTCTGTTGTGCTTTTTAGTTTAGATCAAAGTTGAAATCTCCTACAGCTACTGTGTAATATTGTTGTAATATGCTTAGAATCAAGATTGGACAAGATAAAAAATCTTGATACAAGATACCTACATTCATTTTTGGTATCTAGACGTTAGATAAATACCACAAATTCAGAAAATCTTAAAAGTTCATCATTTACGGAAATCAATTCCATATCTCCTAACAATTTTGTCAAGCTAGAAATATGGACCTAGCCACCAAGACATTACAAACTTCATTTCAATTTTGAAAAAAATCTGAATTCATATAAAAACATAATGTTGTAGATATAAAAACAAACAATATACTTATTGCCAAATTTCCAATGTATTTATTATAAATAAAAAAAATTAAAATAAGATACTTGATATTTTTATGTTTACAAAAAGATTAGGATAGTTATTTAAAATACATAAAATATACAAGCTACTAAAAAAAAGCCTCGTATAACCGTATATGAATTTCGGTAGTTATCAGTAACGACTAACGAGTGTGCCAAAAAAGAAGACTCGGTATAAAAAGGTCCGTGTCAAGATCAATATACTTTTGTCAAAATAGGCAATAAAATACATATTTTGATTAGTTTATTTTGACTTCTATATTATTGTAGGCATAATATAATGTTTAACATGTCGTATGATGTATTGATGTGATTAACCTTACATTGACTGAACAGCCCCATATAATATATTTAATATAATATGTCATATGATGCATAATATTACAATAGGTTATACACTTGTATTCATTTCTAAGGATATCTTGATTTCATTAAACTACTAAAGTACAAATTGTATTACCTCAAATATTTAGAAAAAAGCGATGCAGTTGAAAAGTTTAGTTCAGTTTAATGAAGTTATATGTATTTAATCAATTACACCCCCAAGCCTAAGATCAAAAGTAAAATATATGGGTATACTAAAATGACAATCATGAAGAATTATTAATTAAACCATATTAAAATATAAGAAGTTTCAAAAAAATGTGTAGAAATAATAACTTACTACTCAATTGTAAATCGTTCTTATAAAAATCAGCTAAAATCATCAACATTTTATAATTATTCAAAATACAATTAGGTGAGGACTTCATCATTCAGTCTAATATACAGTAGAAACCATTTATAATGACGTTCAACGGACCAAAGAAAATAGATCATAATAACCGGTTGTCACTTGTCATTATAACCAAAGTGGCGAAAATTACTGTCGTTAAGATTATACCATCGTAATAAAACAGTATCTAAATCCGTATGTGTACAATTTCGAAGTTTCTAAACTGATAATTTTTCATTTTGAAACTCTTGTTCGATTTTTTCTCGAACTTTCCATATGTTAAAAATCATACGAATGATTTAAGCCTAATTCATAAAGGAATTTTTTTCACCTTTTTTAAAACTAAAAATGACATTTGCTTTTTCTTCAATTTTGAATAACTTTCGTTTGCTCATTTTACAATTTCACAAAAACGCCATAACGGCAAAATATATTATATAAGTAGTATAGTTGACTGTATACAATTGTCAATCTTTATAAATAATTCTAGCTTCTTCCAAACATATTAGTTAATCATTAAAACGACCTTGACCATCTAAAGCAAATAATACTTGTGCCGTCTAATACTCTGGTCTTCTATTTCTGATGATTCTATTGAATTACTATTTTACTACTTTTTTTCATAGATTTGTCTATTATCTAAGGTATTGGTAATATGATTGCGGTTGTTCGAACACTGACGCGTTATCGAGTCTCCGAAGTTTCGATATATTTCCTCCCAGCGGCGTGTCGAATGCAGAATCTTCAAGAGGTGGCTACCCCTTCCTTTGTCGTCCGATACCGGGTTGTTGGCCATTTTTTTATACCTACCGTAGGCTGTGTCGCCGGCGTCCAAGTCGTTTTTTCTTGGCGGTCGAACTAGACGCATCGTACGTCAACTCGCCACCACGTACTGTTTTTGTGTGCCACGAGACTCCCATGCCTTTCGGACGACGCGTGTGTGTCGACGTTAAGTCGTCGTCCCGTCACGGCCGTGGCATTGCAGAATATTATAGCCGTCGTTTTTGCTTGATGTCAAACGACCCAAGTGACTTGACCTACTTCATGAGTGTGTAGCCTTTGAACGTAACCGCCCTTGAGCGGTAACAGGCCTCACTCGTCCGGTCCGCTCAGCGCTCAGCCACTGTCGCCATCCCAGTTTCGAACAAGAAGACGTCATCAGCTCAATGTCGTACTTCCGTGCAGTCGGTATTTTTGTACTGTTGTATTTTTAGTTGTATCTGATTTATTGCTCTATCCTGTTTGACCTTGATTATTGTAATACTAAATTTATAACCTTGGGTGCCCGTATTTATTAAGTGTATAATATATAAACTATATATATATGTAATATTAAGCCATTACTGTTCTAACTTTAGGTAACCCTCCGTCCTATACACCGTTACCACTAATCGCATTTTTTTAGGAGCGGTTTCGGCGCAACAGCGGTTATGTATTAACACAAACACTTTATGTTAGCACATTCGCAGTGGTGACATCGGCTCAGTTGCTATGCTTCAAAATTTTAAATCATAGCTCTATCCAGTATGTATTATGTATAACTGTGGAACATTCTTTCATCCACCATCCAACCATAGAACAATATAGAAGCGACATGCACCCATCCACTTTTAGTATTTTCATTGAAAGATTGATATTGTAAACTTGACAATAAGACATGAAGTAACAATTTCAAGCTTGTTCAAAATGTTGAACTCATAACCACAGTTGAAGATGTACTGGTTACACAACACTATGAAATAAATCAACTATCTTATGATTGCATTATCATAAAAATGATAAACTACTGAGATCACCTTGTATTATATTTTTAAACATAACTCGAGCAAACATAGTCTGTACAGCAATTTTATGGTTTTCCACTACAGTCTAGTTTTACTGGGAGACTTATGGCACCACATATTGATTGATCCATGTCTTATAAGCAGTTCAAGCTTAAGAGTTGTGTAACAACTCTGCTCATAACCTTTGCCTTCCTGAAAGTGCCATTTCCATATTGTTCTATGCGTCTGCTGAGATCCCTTTTAATTTTCGTCCGAATCCATCACTGGGTACTTTACCCTGAATTAAATTTTGGCATAAAATTGCTCTTGTTTACTGATTTAGCATCAAATAACGTATCTGGAAACACCAATTGTGTCTATAATATTTGTTTAAATATGATAGGTGATTGTTAATAAGTGTCCTGTGCAACGAATTAGGAAGCTGTTAATTCGGATAAAGAATAACTTTACAGTTACAGCAACAACTCCCCGGGGCTTTCTTCTTTCCACTTTCTTGCGTAATACCAGTTGCATTCAGTTGGCTGCCCAATAGAAACAGCTTTGTAATTTCATAGTCGGCTGTGCTGTTATATTTAAACCCTGATAAACACTTCATTTTCTAAGGAATCAGACGTCTTATTTTATTATATCTTCGAATAGCATCCTGATTGACTTTAGGATTTTTTTCATATCTGAAAGCAGAAACTGTGTTTAGATCAGGATTTGTGTTGACATATCTTTTAATAGCTTCTTTGTTAACTTCTGTAGTTTTCACTGTATTTCTTAATAGCCTTCCTGTGAAGGTCAGGATTTTTCACTGAATGCTTTTTAACAGATTTTCTACGAATTCCGTGATTTGTCTCAAAACATTCCTTAACTGCATTTATGAACTTCAGGATTTTTATCTGATACCACAAACGTCAATTTTCTTATTACACATCTAAAGTATTAGAGAAATTACTATTGCAAATTTCAAGTTCATAAATTTGGTACATTTTTGAGAAGTAGCGTCAGTGAGTGAGTGAGTGACGTTTCGCTTTTATATGTGTATACAGGCCCTGTTACAGGGTTAGGTTAGGTTATTATACTAAATATCTTACCTAATAAATGTGCATTGTGCAGCAGTGTATACTGTTAATGGTATTTGACAATTATATGTATAAAAATATGCAAACAGTAATTAAAGCGTTTCTATATTTTTTGAAAACATTTTGTAGATATGTGTAACACTATCATATCATAATATACTACTAAATAAACTTACTAATTTTGTCTTTAATGAGATCTATGGCTATAACAAATTAAACTAAGTTATTTTTCATGACTTATAACACTCTTGAGACAAATTAATATAGTTACTACGTCACACATAAAAATACCTTTAGTTATGCGAATGTAATTACTATATTACTAGTGTAATACTTCATTATAATTTTAATATCATTAAATTGTCAAAGAACAACATTTGATACTAAAAAAGACATTAAATACAACGGTTCGATATACATTTTTTATTCAAAATAAATAAAAGATAAAAATTTAGTTAAAAAAATGACCAAAGCTTGACATTCTTCAAAGCAATTTAAAAATTAAAAACTATTAACTAAAAAAATATACATTTCAGTATCCCAGGTTCACTAATTCGAAATGAAAAAATAAACGTCGTCTGATTGAATTGTATAGTTGGTAAATAATAAGCGATCACCTATCTAATTTATGTATTTGGTTTTATAGTAATAGTACAATAAAATAACAATATACATTTTTTTAATAGTAAAAAATCTCAAATAGTTTCTAACAAAATTGTAGTGTCTTTATGTATCGAAAACTGATCAAGGCTTGCAATGTTTTGATATTATGTTCTGTGGCGTTTTCCCTCGTATAAAGGTCACAGGTGCCGTTGACAGAACAGGATGAGGTAGAGTTGTTAATAATTACGAAATAATACATAAACCTTAAATAGTTTTTTCACTATATATTAATGCTTCACAAGAGACGTTTAATTGAATTACTGCAAATGGTAAAGAGTCATTATAATATTCGGTTCAACGAATAATCTAAGTGTTTAGAAAACAGATGATTTATCTAGTTTATTATTTAACCTAAAATATTTCGGTTCGAAATATTCTACATCTAAATAATAGTGCTGGCACTAGTTGAAAATGGGCCTTTCGGGATTCTAGAATATAAGCCTATCCCTCAACTTCTCTTGTCCCCTACCATTTGTTCTGTCACTCCCACGATCGTGGTGGTCGATGCCCCAAATTAGTATTTGCTCCCAAAGCTCCTACACATGTGGAAGTGTTTTTTCAGTTGTATTCGTAGCTACGCTGCACGTATTATGTCATCTAGCTGGCCTGTACTGTGATCAATGAGGGGTTCCGTTAATCGTGTATACTTGTCATAGTGCCAAATTGAACTAGTACAGTTTATTAAGTCCGAGGACTTTCCCACTATGTATATTTCACCCTCGCATAGCAATCCTCTGCAAATGGCCTTTTCTACCATCTGTGTTCTATGCTAAAATGTCATAACTTTTAGAAATACCTATTTGTTTTCCCAGAGTCTATTGTTTGACGAGATGATCTCTAATATTATAACTATATGTAAGACGAAGTATCCCGTGAGAAGTAAATCCTTAAAAAGGTAGTTTATGAACTTGACAATAATTTTTGCAAAAATAAAAAAACTGCAAAATAACGGTGAAGAAATGTAAACAAGTACATGTTAAGCTGTTACAACGTAATCTCATCGGTGCGGTGCTTAAACTAAGTTTCACTTAAAGTCATTTGTGAAGCCAATGTTTTATTAATTTATAGTTTAAATTAACATGATTAATAATGTTTTTTTGCACTATTTCACTGTAGTCCACAACGCAACATACATTTTAGCATCAGAAACTATCTTTTTATCAAAATAATATAGTATAATGGCTATTTGAATAAACTAAAACTTACTAGCTTCAGTTACATTAAAATCGGTATGTTCGTCTTTTATGTCTATAAAATTGAAATCACAGATTAAGGATAGGCAATAATAGTAATTATAACAAAAATTAAGAGTTTTTAATTTTGATTAAAACTTAAAAATATATTTATTTGTTATAACAAATCACAATCTAACTTTAAATGTGTCATAATCTAGAAGCTATGGTAAGAAACTAAGAAAGTTGTATTGTGTATTTGTGTAGAGTGATGTTCCTGTTACGGCAATATGCATACTAGTATATGTATGCATGGGTTTAAAGTTAAGATAAAAATAAAATCATCTTAACTCAATTAATGACAATTAATTTTTTTTTCAAGGAAGTCATAAATTGACCTATAGTATTTTGATTTACACAGACATTTATCTAGACGTTTAACACTGTTCAATGATCAAATTATTATTTATCATTATGAGAAATTATTAGAAAATAAATTACCAAAATCGAAAAAGAGGCAACAAATCAATATTGTCTGTAGGGCTGTCGAGCTAATTATTAATAAACTAAATAGTGTTGAAGAAAAAATTAATTTTTGTTTTGATGTAAGTAAGTAATAATATTTTTAATAGTAAAAATAACTATAATGAAGCGAGAACAAGTTTAAAAGTTCAATCAAGTAAAGGTATAAATTTAGTTCAATATTGAAAAAGTAACGCGTTAGACAATAATTGCAAATTAACCAAATCAACACATATCATTGTAAAATCAATAGCGTCTTTCTCTTCACTCGGAATCTAAAACTATAATGTATATAATGAATGCATTAATAATAACAATTTTGTAACAAAACGAAATAAAATGCCGAACCATCTTACTTCGCAACTTTATCCTACGTGCGTATTTGGTTCAGATCCATCGAAAGTCAAAGTAGCCAAAGTTGAACCTTATCATATAAGACTTAAAAATAATAATAATAATAATAGCTAGTTTGCCAAAATTTAACTTGCCACACAGAATAACTCCAATACAAAGGGAAGAATTAAGAATTGTAATAAATTAACTTTAAGATACAGACATCATTGAGAACACATCATCTAATTTTACGGCATCGGCTTTTGTAGTTAAAAAGAAAGAGCCACGCAGCTTTAATAGTGGTTAATAATAAATAAATTAATGGCAAAGTAATACCTATTAGCTACCCACTCCCTGGGACACAGAACTTATTTAAGGTTTTGGAAGGGATGGCTTGCTTAATAGCCTTGGCTTAAATTCAAGATTTTTTCAGATCTCAGTTGTTAACAAAAAAGAGATTTTTTCCTTTACCAAAGTTCAAAGTTTATTTACATTCAACAGGCAATTTAAAGAATTATTTACAAAATATTTTCGAAGCATTAAAATCAAAAAAAATGTGTAATCGATGACCTTTAAATGTCTGAAAAAAAATTTAAAAAGCCGAGAATCATTTTTAAACTTTTAAAAGACAGCGATTAATTTCTTAAGACTAACAAATGAAAATTGTTATATATTACAATTAATCTGACAACAAAATTAAGATTAAATAGTTTAAGCAACGCAAAGAATCATTTAATACGTTAAGAGATTGACTTATAAAAACACCAATGCTATTATATTCTTATGAAAATAATTAACTAATAGGTACTCACTACAGATTCTAGTATTAGAGCTTTAGGAGCAGTATTAGAATAACGTGATCATAACGGAAATGTACATATAATAGGTTATGCCTCTAAGTAAGTTTTAGATAATGAGCTAATTTACTCTTCAACGACTTAGGAACTTTTAGGATTATTTATATATTTTAAGATATGTAGTTGAAATTATAAGGAAGTGGAAAAGGATAAACAATAATATTGAATACATAATAAATATATCTGAAATTAATATCAAAAAAGATCCAAGCAAAGACGAATTTTATAAAAATATGATAAATGCATTAAACGAAAGGAAAGGAAAGGTTCTTAAACCTTAGGCCCATAGCAAAAGTAGTAAAATATGCGAATACCTATACTGAATACTCTGTTGTAAAATTCTTATTTAATTTCGTAGCAATCTGGGGCGTGCCAAAAAAATTGTCCTCAGATAAAGGTTTACATTTTAGAAATGAAACAATTGTTAGTTATATTTCACATGGATGACATACTTAATCCAGCAACTTTGAATGCAAGATTTTGAAAGCCAGTCCGTTCTAAAAAAAAAAGATATCGTATATACTTTTAATAATCTAAAAATTAAAAACCGTAAATTTTATTATACTTAATATAGGTAGGATATTAATATAAATACAACATAATAATATAGTAAGGTACAACAATGTTGATTATTCAATTTAAAAAAATATTAAATACAAAAAATGCCTTTCTATAGAAATTAGAGTATTCTTGTTTCGAAATTCTTTAACAGTTAAACAGTGAAAAATACATGGACAATAATACGAACATGTTCAGTGGGGCCCATTATCTTTTTGAAGAATAAAATAAAAAATAAAATAAAAAAATAATAATAATAAACTGAACTTACTATCGAATCCATCTTTTTTCAATGAATCTAATTAGATTTTTCAATAACAACAATTATTTTAATAGTTTAATATAAAGTATAGTTATTTAGGAATAAAACAAAAAAATCATTTCAGGAATAACTAAACACGTATAGTGTACAAAGCTAGAATCTGCTATCTTACCCATACAATTTGGTATTTCCGCTGAAACTTAAAAAAACGAATTCCGTTAAAAATAATGTCTATATCATTGTTTATTGTTCACTTAGAAAAGTATCGATCGAAATTATTTAATTGTCTAAGACTGAAAAACAATAATAATAGAATTGTTTACGGACCATGGTAGTTAATTCATACGGGTATGAGTAATTTAAGCCACATTTATAAACTAATGTTGGTAATTGCACCACTTTTTAAGGTTGTATAATTTGCATCACTCTAGATACAACACTAGATATAAGGGTATTATATAATCCACACAATCTTGTACCTACAAAAATTGAAATTGTGCCATTTTTTAAGTTATCAAAACTGTAATTTTTGCCACATTAAAATAATTAATAATTTTTTTTTTTAAATTTTAGTTATATGTATTTTTAAATTAAATAAACATTAACCAAGTTAATTTCAATAGAACCATAATGCATAATTTTACCTCAATATTTTATTATTAAATGAAATATCACTCATTTAATCACAAAGTTCGTTTTTATCATAATCAGATAATACATTTGACAGGTAGGTATCTGAGATTTTGGCGCTTTTGTAGATACAATACGATTTATTTTTTGCTCATCTTGTTTTAGCGCTTAGATATGCCTTACACCAATCCATCCATTCTGGACTAGAATTACTGCATTTCTAAGTGTACTTACCTATAATAGTATAACCAGGGGTGGCGAACCAAAAGGTTCTCTAACCAGAAGGGGCACGTTGGCCAAATTTCAATGGCACTTCAAAACTAATTAAAACATTTTTAGTAATCCATGCATAATTTTTTGTATACTCAATAAAAATACATTTTTGGTGGGGGTGATCAGGGGGGCACGCAATTGTATTTTAAAAATGTTGTTTTTTAATTTTGGCACTTGACCAGAAAAAGGTTTACCACCCCTGGTATACATATATACCAACATAAACCGGTTATAAAAGTTATTTGTGTCATCAAAACTGGTATAATGTGATATTTTAAAAAATAAAACCAAAATCTAACTTGGGTACTGTTTGATATTGTTGAAATATTTAAATTCTGTTATTTTCCATTTCTTAATAATAGGTATAAATTGATTTTTCTATGATATAATATGCTATTGGACTGTAAGTACCTTCTCTGGTCTTTTTTAACACAAAGTAAAATTTTAACAGCAGCTAGCGTATAATATTCTTATTGAGATTATGTTAATTAATTGAATAGGTATTAATGTATTATCTTACATTTATTGCTGGAAACTTATTTAATGTAACTTTATTATGTAGTGAATGATTACCTGCAAGGCCATTGCAGTAGAAAATAGCAAATACTATCACAATCTTGATCATAAAATTATGTTTTGAAAAAACCATTTTAACTTTTTAACTCAAGTATTAAAAATTATGAGTACCTGTGATTTCTGGCGAAAGACTAACGTAGAATTTTATATTTCTTTAGAATATTCGTTCTTTTTTCACACATTTTCTATCTAGTCAACTGTTGACTCGATAGAAAATGTGTACAGTTACTGTATACACAAATAATAAGACATGCGTATACATTTCAAATAATAACTTAAGTTGCAAGCTGCATTGTCGCATAGAATGTTTTTAAACATTATAATATCTTACAATCCAAAAGTCTGCTAGCTGTATATTCTTAAAACTAGAGCTTTGCAAACGTTATACACGACAAAAAAAAAATGTTTAACTTAATTAAAACAATAAACGAAAGACATAAAATACTGCAAAATAAAACATAATGGTTAAGAGGATGTCAGCGCAGTATTTGTGTAGCATACCAAATGTATGTATAGTACAACCAACCCTGTGTAATTACTTTTAATATTATAGTAAATTCACCTATAATCAAACTTTAAATTAAGAACATTACCTATGTTCCTACGTTGATTCTTTTATGATATTTCAGTTTTTATATGTAAGTTATAAGTGTATAAATTATTACAATTTAAAAATGTTCATAAATTATAAACAAATTAAAATACTGTACAAAATCCTACGTATTTACACAGATAAAGACACATGTCCTTCTAACATCTTAATGCTTGATAATAAGTTAATTCACTATTTAAAGTATCAACACAGCATAACTTAAATATTTAACATTACCCTAACCATCGTTGCCCCGCCATCATATGGATATGGACCATGGAGCCTATATTGTGTAGTAGACTTTTATAACATAATATGTTGTTTCCGTCTTACTAACTCACATAGAACGTAAATAAAATTCACTTATTATTTTTAATCCTATAATAATAAATGAATTGACGTATTACCAAATTTAAATGAAAAAATATTATCTTGGACTCCTAATATTCTTGATATTTTAATTTTAAATCAAGTTACGAGTACTAAGCAATTATGATTCTAATAAGCCCTCATAACTTGGTTCAAAATTAAAATATGAAGAAAAAACTTTTTGAGGTGCCCAGAATACTATTTTATTGCATTTAAATTCGATACAATTCATTCTAATGTTAAAAATAAAAGAGTAAAACGGATTCTTCGCGGATAATTTGTTATAGGTTAGATCCAGTATTATACGGGATTGTCCCGTATTTCGACATTGTGTCCCGTTGTGCCGACAAAGGTTATACTGCCATACGGAACGTAACTTGTCCGGTTTTTTCCGTCACTGTTAATTTACAACTTTCTGAAATTTATTTTATAAAAAAAATCCTTTCTTCTACGATATTTTTCTTTGACAATATTCAATAAAATACTCTAATCTATACTTTTCAGTAGTATTTTTAGACTCTTATTTTAACTATAATTTCTGAGGGTAGAAAATATAAAATTAATAATGTCACATCGATTTCGTTAAAGTAAAACGCACATAATATCATTACTATCATATCAATATGTGGCGACGTCGCCTAAAAAAGTACAATCCCACCCACCGCAGCCAGTTTTCTGTCAAATGTGTGTGTGTGTATGTGTGTGTGTATGTGTGTGTGTATGTGTGTGTGTGTGTGTGTGTGTGTGTGTGTGTGTGTGTGTGTGTGTGTGTGTGTGTGTGTG